ATTGACTCACGTAGCAAAGCCGTGCAGCCCGGACATTGTGCCGTGCTTGTGTATACATCTGGTACGACTGGAGAGCCTAAGGCTGTTATGCTGTCACACGATTGCATGGTTTTCGAAGCACTAACATTCCTCAATGTTGCTCGATCTCACGTGGGCCTCTGCGCTTCAGCGCAGCAGGAGCGCATCCTTTCGTACCTGCCCCTGTCACATGTAGCTGGAAAGATGGTGGACGTGTGCTTTCCCTTCGTGGCGACTGCCTCGCCGCCTGCCTGGGTAACAGCATACTTCGCGAGGCCGTATGACCTGAAAGCCGGAAGCCTGAAGGACAGACTCAAGGTTGCGAGACCCACTGTCTTCCTTGGCGTTCCGCTGGTGTGGGAGAAGATCGCAGACAGGCCTGCAGAGATCGGGATCGGCGTGCAGCACATGCTACACGCAGTGAAGTGATCTGCGTCCTTTCGCAGAGGCTGCGTGCGGTGGGGGCTTCTACCAGAGGCATCAAGAAGAAGCTCTCGACTTGGGCCAAGGCCGCCTGCCCTGAAGCGCCTGAGATCGCCTGAGCACTGAGCTCTTTGCTTTTACTGAGGCCAAGGGCCTCCAGCACGCAAGGGCTTGTCAGATGGGAGGCAAGAGGGAGCAACGATCGTTTGGGAGGGGCTCATGGCTGACAGTCTTGAGTCTTGAGAATTGGGAGCTGACAGAGGCACGGGGCAAAGGAAGCTGAGCACTGAGCCTGGACTCAAGTTGCTGGGTTAATGTCATGAGCCCGAATCGGCTTGACCATTTAATTTTGGACTATTTTGGACTTGAGGGTTGTCATTGTTGCGGGACACCAGACCGGCAATGTTATGTTTTGTAGATCTTGGGAGGGTGTGAGCATGGGAGGCGATGGCTTGGAGCCCTTTGCATACGGCGCTGCTAGCAAGCTTGTGCTCAAGAAGGTCAAGGGCATTCTGGGTCTCGACGAGCTCAAGTTCGCTGTCACCGGTGCCGCACCGATCCGGGTGGACACCCTGGAGTATTTCGGCTCCCTTGGCATAAACATCAATGAAGTGTATGGCATGTCGGAAAGCTGTGCTGCCTGCACAATTTCCACAGACAGGGCCCATTTGTGGGGATCTTGCGGTTATCAGCTGCCAGGAGTGGAGGTGAAAGCCTTCAAGGTAGATTCAATGGACATGAACAGGAAGGAGGAATGTCCACGGGCGGTCTCTCTCGACTCCATTGACGAAGAGTTCCAGGGAGAGCTATGTTTCCGAGGCCGCAGTATCATGATGGGCTATTTGGCGCAGCCCAGCTTGGGTGCCGAACACGTGAAGGAGGCAGGCTGGCTTCTCGAAGACTTAGACTCTGAACTGTGAATGTTCGAGTTGTAGCCCCTGTTCCTGGATTAGGTTTGGTGATGTGTGGTGATCAGGCTACTTGCATAGAAAACCAAGACGGACCTGTCCCAACTCGTTCTGGAAGACCAGGCTTACTGTCGAGCAGATGGCAGGTACTTCAAGCGAACCCCGAGTAGCTCAGATTGCCATCCTCGGATGATAAGAGGTGGCAGAACTGTTCCGAGTCCCATCCTCAGGTGGGCTTCAGATTGTAATTGTCTGATGTACGTCCAACAGGCTAGAATGAAGGTGCTGGCCCTGCAGTGAAGTCAAAACGGTTGTACTCGACAGGTTGAGCGCAAGACTGCGGAAACGATCGATGCAGAAGGGTGGCTGCATTCGGGCGACAAGGGAATGATCACACAAACAGGGATGGTCAAGATCACCGGACGATACAAGGAGCTAATCATTGGCGCAGGTGGCGAAAACATAGCACCAGTGCCGATTGAAGACCATATCAAGGGCTGGTGTGATGGCATCAACGAAGTCATGCTCATTGGCGACAAGCGCAAGTACAACGTAGCTTTAGTGACATTGAAGGCCGTTGGTGCAAACGGCGAGAGTCCGGGCACAGATCAATTGGATGCCGGGGCTGCTCGGGTAAATCCACAAGTGACGACGATCATGCAAGCCATGGATGATCGATTCTGGATCGAGCAGATAACTCTGGCCATCAATTCTGCTAACTGCAACGGTAAGATATGCCCAAACAATGCCTTCAAAGTTCAGAAGTTTATGATCCTGCCGACAAACTTCTCCGAGGAGCAGGGTTTCCTAACCCCTACGAAGAAACTGAAGAGGCCTGTGGTCGAGAAGGCTTTTGAAAAGCAAGTCGACATGATGTACAGGTCTAGTAGCACCTATGTGCGATATGAGCCGTGAGCAAAGGCTCCCGGCTCGTACACCTACAAAGCCATCCCGCCGATGGCTCTACAGCGACTTTACAGATATGTCGTGCTCAATTATTTAAGCCATCATGCAGGACAAGAGCTGCAGACACTGTTTTGAAAAGTCGGTCTGTGAGATCAACACGCAATCGTGTGCTGATATTTCTCGCAGATGTCGCAGTCGACTGCCAGAGGTTTTAATGTTCTAGTCGTCGACTGCCACATAAGCAGGAGGATGTTGCAATGCGCCCACTGCTGGTCCGCGATTGGCTATCAACGGAAGACTCCCCAAGGGATGTGCTGGCGCAAAAAGAAGCCTTGAGCGTTCCATTAAGAGACTGCCTGCTTATGTTTGCTGTTCTGCTCTCGTCCAGGACACAGGGCTGGTGGGGCAGTGATCGATCATAGGGCCGTCAATCCCATCACGATTTCGCATGAAACGGACCTTCATGCCCTTTTTGACAAAAGGTACAGGGTGGGTTGTGAGTTGTCGGCAGACGGGCTGGAAGTCTACCTTGCCCAGCTTTAACTTTTGGCATCGCCGCTTTGCTTTTGCAGCCTTCACCCGAAAAGTCGATGCAGCCTTCTGGAGGTATTTCCGATCCAATGGCCAAAGCCGAAAAGCATGAGTGCCGATCTCCGACACGAAGCCCTTTATTGCCAGGCCAGAGGCTTTCGAGGTCGGCCTGAGCTCTGCAGAGCTGAGCTGGAGAGAGTTGATGCTGTGTCAATGCTAGGAGTTTCACACGTGCCTACTCCGCAAAGGCACCAGGAAAGAGCGCAGACTCTATAATCAGCTGTGTTTGACGTTACGCTTTCGGCTTGCTTGACCAGTGTTGCTTTGCTTTTGCAGCCTTCATTCCCATCAAAAGAAGTCCCTGCAAAGTGAAGGCGGAGGCTTTTCAAGCTCATCAGCGGATTGCAGTGCACGCATCGAGCAGTTTGTGGTTTACAGAAACGGATATTACATGAGAAATCTGGCACCGCTGTGTCCAAGCGCAGCAATCTCTCAGGTGAGAAACATCGCAGTATCGGCACGAATCAAACCAGTCTGCAGCCTTCACCAGCCAGCGTACTACAAGTAATGGCATTGATTTGCGCTCCCCGCCATACGTTGCCCCGTTGCTTGCAGCCTGTAGAGCATTTGAGCAGCACTGAGTTTGATCGTTTAATTTCAGGACTCCAAATGCTGAAGTTGTGCGAGTCACGGACCACACACGCACTTAAACAACTTCCTGGCTCAGGAAAACACACAGAGGAAGCTTGCTGCACGTGCTTGCGCGAGCACCTTCGAAGGCACCAAGCTGACTAGCGTTTTTGGCCGGGAACAATCCGATCCTTTGATTGCGTCCCCTTGCTTGGAGCTGGCTCAGGCTGTGCAACTTACGTGACGCAAACAACTTTGTCAATCCTGTCAGGGTTCAACACGCCGATACCTTTGCGCCGGTGGATTACTGGCTTCGGTGCGCTCTTCGTCAAGGCTGCCTGCACTTGGTCGAAGAGGGCAATTTGGGTCAGTCCGGCTCGATCACTTTCGCTGGAGGTCCCCCCATGCCAGGCGCAGATGCCAGGCATGGCGCTAAGTTGCTTCTGACTGTAGTTTAGCACCGTCATGAGCACCTGCGGCTAGGACAAGTCCGCACAAGTGGATCTGTTCTGCTCAATTTATTTTCTGGGTCGTAACATCATGGTCGTCGTTAAAACTACTCGTATTGGCCAGGAATCTTGAATCAGCCTCCTTCCTATGTATATGGGTTTGTTCAAAGACACGCAAGTGGTACCATGCGAGAAGCATGCTGGTCCTCACAAAGCACTCACAGCCAAAATTGACTAAAGCTGTTCTGTCGGACATGCTCTCGGAACCGGAACCGGCGGCTGATGGTCAGACGGTCAGACAGCGCGCCATTGAACTTTTTTGCTGAGCTTTGTTTGATATGCGCACTTCCATGTCGCTGGAAGCCAACCTTCTGCCATGTTCCCCCTCTACATTGTACTCTACATGCTGTCCGTGAACCCGTCTTGGTGAACCCGTCTTGTCGTTGTGTGAATTCTGGCCCTCCTCACAGACAATTAAAAGCAGCATCACTCTAATTTAGAGCAGTGGAATGCGGACTGAACTTTATTGGGTGCTCAGTTGGATGCACTTCACTTGAACACTCTGCCCTCACTGAGACGTACAGTGTTAGCTGGCTCAGGGCAAAGACAGAGTGGTAGCTGATGCCGTTCAGGAGGACCTCCAACTCCGACTGCAGCCAAGATGTTGATCTGGACGAATTTGCCGTACGACTCTGCACGAAAGTTTGCAGGACTTGGCCATCACCAAGAGCCGCTTCTGTTCTGGCCCCAGGAGTGTGCATCTCTCACATGTGGCAGTGGCAGGGCTGAATCAGGCCATGGCTGGACGATCTCCCAGCTGAAGAAGGCACGCAAAGAGACACGAGGATTGGATTCTGCGAACTTTCGACCGATCATGCCTCCTGCCGCCGCAAAAAGGTCTCTGATGGATCCTGCAACCCGCAAACCAGTAAGCAATGTGTAGCCCGGTGGCCCGACAACCTATCCATTCGTCTCTCGAGATGCTGTAGCCTGAGAGAGCCGTAGAGTGCTTTAGAAGCAGGAGCTCACATATCGGAATCTCATGAACATGACCACCTTCAGTAGTATGTAGGAGGCTGAACACATTCGACAGACCACGGCATGATTATCCGAGCACGGCTGCACATGGAACGCCATGTCCGTCGCAAGGGTGCAGACAGCATTGCTGCATGAACTGCTCACTAGAGCTTTTATGACACCGCACTTGCATAGATTGCTTCGACATATCCACTTGAAGCAAAGGCTGAAGCAATACGATGTGAACCTGAGCACGCGGAGATCGCCTCGCTGCCCAGCCTCCGAGGCGGTTTGAGCAAGAAGTCTCCACCTATTTCCTCAGTCTGGCCCCCTGCTCGAATCAAACCTGGAGCTCCGCATAGTTGCATCTGCAGATATCTGCAGGACTGCCGGAGAGTATCTCTGCTGCGCTTCATTTTCAAGCGTCGTGTTTGCAATGCTGTCCGGAGCCCGGATCTCCTTCGTCTCAACGCTTCCAACGGAAGACTCTGTGGGCCGACGGAGAGGCCCACCATGGCCCACCCTAGCTGCCAGCTGCCCTAGCTTGTTTTTCGAGCGCAGAGCCAAGGGGTGGCCCAGAGGAAGTTCGAGCTCGTGAAGCGCGGAGTTAAACTGAAAGATGAGCTTCAGCTCTTCCCCGAGCAACGCACCCACCGTGATGCATCTGGACTGTGTCCAGTGGGATTCAGTAAGTTAAGCAGCTAGCAGATTGGGCATCAACCCAATCTGCATAGGTTCGTTCAGCAGATTGGCTGGCGTTGCCCATGTTTCTGTCGAAGATGTCCTTTGAGGCTCTCTGCACGGTGACATTTGTGGGTAGCTTGCTGCACCTTGGCGTTTAGCTGATTTTGTTAAATGGCTGCTAAGGGGGGGGCTGGAGGCAGCGAATGACTTCCTCTGACTACTGAGCGAAGACATCCGCCATTGCCATCATCATCATCATCATCATCACCATCATCATCAGCACAGGAGCTTTGAGTATGTTACCTGCTGTTGACGCAGAACTTGTGAAGCCTGCCGAGGCTTTTTCTTGCTTTGGGCATCTCGTCCAGAGCACAGCCTGGCTCGGCGAGCGCTTTGCTCCCGGCTCCTCCATTTGGGCTCAGGCCGGCGGCCGGGTTCTGAAGAAGTTGCGAGCACTATCTTTTGAGTCAGATTTCTTGCCGGCAATCTGTTCCCCGTCTGTGCATCTTCGGTGCAATTGCAATTGCAGTCCAGGCAAGAAGGGCCAACTGGCTTGTACATAGATGCCGCACGGCGGCTAACTAGTCAAGAAGACCGTGCTGCTTGGACTGAGACTTCCATGGACATGACGACGTGACTGCACATGTTGCTTCAGCACTCCACATCATTGGTCACAGCTCTATACTACATTCTCCTGAGTAACTGACTTTCTGATCCTGTCCACGAAGCTGTGAGGTGAGCTGGAACGTTCTTCTTTCGGTAGTCACTGTCAGCTCCGCTGTCGGCTTCCTGTGCGCACTGGTGGTCTTGCAGCTACTACAATCTGGCGGAGAGCAAGTACTTTTTCAGTGCACTATGCTCTTGCCGGTGCTGAGGCTGATAACAGGCCTTTTTTGTTTGTGTTACCCCTGGAACAACTTCACCCCTCAGACATACTACCGTGGAATGGACGATGACGCTATCCGATACCTGGCTTGCGGTGTCTATACCTTGGCCGGGGCGTCGTTGACGATCTGTTCTCTTTGCAACTGCTGTATCTCCATGCACGTGCGGCATCTTGCCCGCCCTTGGCTTTCTCTTCAAGCAAGTTTGATGAAATGCGTTAGCATGGTCGTACTCGCCAATCCTGGCATGCTCCTGGTACCCCTCGGATTTGCGGTGCTGCTCTACTTCTGCATTGTAGGCTGCATCTCCGCTTTCTCGTCCATCCTTGATGCTGCAACTGTCTCGAGCTGGTGGCCGGAAATTGCAATCATCCCGACCATTCTGCTCATCGGCTGGGGCGGAGGCACGGCTTTCTAAATCAAAACAAATCCAAGTCCGTCTAAGTGAGTCCCAGATCAGCCTCGTCGCCTCGGCTCGATTTGCCAGAAGGTGTCGCCTCGTACACTTCCATCCTGGCCTTCTGCGGGGTTTACAGCCGATGGTATCACTCGCGCCCTGAACCACCAGTCTTTGCGAGCCTGAGGACGCATCTACAGCAAGTCTCCCGCTTAAATCTGTGCCTTGTGCAGCGCGTGTTTCATACTCTTCGGGAGGAGTGCCGTCGCCTTTGGCTTGGGAACAGTTGCTTCGCTGCAGCTGGGGAGTCTTTCCAAACGTCAGTCAGCGGCACCGATATTAGGCAGCCAGCGCAGAAGACAGCGCCCTTGTTTCGTAGTCAGCTGGCGAGCTGGTCGAAGTCGGGACAGCATGCGCTTGGTGCTGGAGGGGGAATGTACATGTACGTACCGACTGCAGAAACTTTCCACCCAAGGCATGTCTGGCCTCGTTCCTGCGACCAACGTTTCGTACGATCGAACTTTTGAGCAGGCGCGGAATCAGAGCCCATGAAAATCACGGCTTGTCCCCAGAGCCACAGAGAGCCTCCGGTCCACGCGTCAGGATTATCCAGCCGTCAGGCCCTGACTGCAAAGCAAATCCCGTGAGAGCTTGCATGAAACTCGGATCGCAGCGAGAGCACGCAATCACTGCCGTGCTGGGCAGTTGCTATGCACGTTCCCAAGTGTGCAAGCAAGCCTGGCATGCAAGGACATGCACCTGCGCCTGCGTGCTGGAGTTTGCATTCAGTTTGGTTGGCGCTTTTTGGCAGCATGTCTGGCGGAGTCAACTTGCACGCTACAGCGATGAGTATTTCAGGCTGTCGCCGCAGTTCTCTCATTCGCACACTCACCCAGGACGTTTCTCGATTCTTCGATACCTGGGCATTCACGCAGTGTGCCATCCGCAACGGTTCCTTCTTCCAGTCGTCGTATATAACGATGCTCAGCCGCAGCTTCCCTCAAGGCGCGATGAGACGGGAATTTGCCTCACATAACATTGGAGACGGTGGTTGTTCACCACCGGCGTGCTGAGGGTTTGAAGTAGGCAGTCCCAGTGTAGACCTTGCAAGAAGCATCCCGCGTCTCTGCGTCGTCAGCTAGGCAAGACCCCTGCATGACGATGCCAATCCGAGAGAAGCCATGCATCTGGATTTGAGGTTTGCTCTCTGCACATGCTCCAACGTGACCCTCCTTACAAGAAACCTCGTCCTGGATTATGTCACAGGACTGGCTCTGGGAGTGCTGCAGCTTGTTTCAGCTGTGCGCGACAGGGCTGTTTGGACCCTGCTTTGCCATTTTTGCCGAGCAGGTTCTGGCACCCAAGCGGGCGGCTTGCTGGGCTTGCTCGTTGGTGCAGTTGCGCACTATTTAGGCCCTGCTCGTGGTCATCGCCAGATCAGCCTTTGAATGTCTTGAATGTGCTGTTTGTGAAAATCAACGGATACAGGCAAGTTTCCGTGGCTTTACTGGGCACCAGCAACCGGCTGCATCTGCGCGACGATCATGACCAGCATTGCACGGGGCCTAAGCTGAGCTATAAAACGGCTGTAGTGAATTGTAGTGAGCTCGTGACTACAGATTTTCAGCGAGTTCTCAGATTCGACCGTCGTTCACAGAGGGAGCTTAACAAAAGAGCATTCGAGATGATTGCTTGTAAGCCTTGTAAGCTTAGCAATGGATACGGAGACAAGTCCGCGGCCAATCAGAACGTACCTCTCTGGCGAGGTGCTGAGTGTGGCGAAGACGGGTTTCAAGGTGGGATCCAAGCCTCCAAGCCTTCCTATGGAGTGCACTCCTCTGCCGCTGCTGTTCGATGCCAGTCCATCCTGGCGCTGTGGGCGGAGAGTTGCCAACTGCAGCAGCTGTCCCCAGAGACTCATGCTGCCATTGTATCCTGCAACACGGGTGCACTGGTTTGGGGTCCCACAAACAGTATATCATGGAGCTAGCGTGGCTTAGGTATCAAGAAGAGACTGGAGGAGGAGGGCCAACGCCACCGCACGGTCTCAGAGATGTCGCAGCTGAGCCGATAAACATGCGCAGCCTTAGCCCAAAAAGAGCTTGGGTCGACGCAAAGGGTAGTGACGGTAATGATAATGTCCAATTTGCTCTGAGTGCCTTCCAGCTTGCACTTTCGGGCCAGTTTTCGCGAGCCGCCTGGTGTGGCAATTGTGATCGATTATGTTTTAACGGTTCTATGACGCAATGATTTCTAGTCGGACATGCGCAGCGACAGAGAAGAAGGCAAAGTTCTTGAGCAAGCTCCGAAGGCGTCGGCTTCGTGTCAACGTTTTCTTTGTCTTGACTTGCATCAGGGCTACCGCTACTGCGCTGATGACATTCTCTGCGCGCACTATGCACTCAAAGCTGCCCCGAATGCCCACAGCTTGCCCGAAGCCTAGCAACCTGCTTTGTGATGTGATGATCAACTACAACCATGCACTGGCTTATGGCCAAGCAGCCGCGGGAAAGACATGATAAGTCTGAGAAGTTGCTGGAGTAGATGAATCAGCATGCCAAATGCCTTCGTCTTGTGGAACGAGGGATGCTGGTCGCAGCACTAAGAGACACATGTCTCTTTGCGCTGCAATGAGCAGTCCCTTTCTTGCACGAGCCAGCGCCAACTGTCCTGAATCGAAATCGCTAAAGATGGAGGGTGTCGCATCCGATGCTAAGCTATGCTGAGCTGAGGTTGGATTTGGGCTCTGGTATTGGGACAATAGGCCATTCGCCAAGCTGCCACGGCTGTGCAGTACTTGATTTTGTTTGTTACTTGTAGCATGCATCGAGAATGCAAATGCCGCAGTGGTTTGATGGCTGCAAGAGCATTCGGAGCGAAGCCTTACAGACTTGGCTCCAGCAGCGGTCGAATTCTTCCTGATGGGGGCGCAGAAACTTCTCGGCCGTCAAAGAAGTCAATCAAGTAGGACGCAGCTTACGTTTTGCGTTGCCCTCCAAGGTCTCGCCTGGCTGGCCCAGCAGCCGCGTGGAACTGCGAAGGTCACCATGCTGGAGGCAACAGAAGCGGCGTGGTCGACTCCAGCTCGTCCAACAGCTCCATTGCCCTTGCATCGAAGCCCTCGATGCAGGCTCAAGATGTCAGCGTGTCTCTTTGTCGCAGGACGCTCCGAATGTGTCAGGCACATTGACGGGCGGGGTGCTGCCTTCCTCGTGTATGTAAGTACTTGGGATGCCGCAGGTTCAGGATGAGGTGGAGCTAAGGCAGGCTGAGATGCTGACATTCTCATTCAAGCCACTCTTGGTGCAGCTGCAGGCATGCAGACCTACGAGACCAAGATTCCTCAGTGACGAAGCTCAGACAGGAGCTCAGCTTTCGTTTGTGTACGCAGCGAACAGCCGAGTCCTTGGGAAAGTTCGATGTGGTCACAGCCAACCCACCGCACCACTCTCGGCCACAGCCATGACTCACGCGCAGTAGCCGAAGAGATTCGAGTTCTCAGAACTTCCCAAGTGGTTGCTGAGGTACCTCAGCCGAAATGCTGGAAATCTGCCGGACAACTCCCAGAAGGTTGGGCGCAAGAAGTGTTCGGGAAGGAGAGCCAAAGTTATTTCTTTGCTAGGCGTACGTTAGGTCGCCCACTTCTCTGGACGCGGCCACCCCACCCCCTGCAAAACAAGCCGCCCCTCCCCCCCCCCACCCACCCTTAGGGTGTAGGGTTTAGGGTTGGGGGTGGGGGGGGATGTGTTACCGTGCGAGCGTGAAACAACGACCTCTCTTAGGCGTACTGCCGACATGAATTGCGAGGTGGTGTTGCAGAGCCGCCTGGAAGCAGAAAGGTCGTGACAGTTCGGCGAGCTTGCGGCAGTCCTTGTAGGAGCATTTGCACAATTGTTGCCTCAAAGAAGGGCCCATGTCCAGGAGCCGGGCGTCGAACTTTCGTGGCCGTCGCTCTATGTCGCTCTCGAGTTAGACACAAAGTTTTTGTTTCCATCCGAATGGCATCGAACAGCTTGTCATAGCATAGCGCAGCAAGGTGTAGCTGATTAAAGTTGAGAGTGAGGGTGAGAGTCAAGAGCAAGGCAAGGCAAGACACAACGTTAGCACAACGCCTGCATTCTCATGTTGTCTACTCAGGTTCTGCGCAGCTGCCAGCTCAGCATGCCATTGTCTGGTTAGCCGCAGGGATGCTGTCGGATCGGAGAGCTTGGCGAAACGACTGAGGTTGCCAAAGATGCAATGGCACCTGGAGCTGTGTTTTGCATGGCAGGGGGCCGAGAGTCTGCCCTGTTGTTGGTGTCATCACTCAGCATTAAGTTTTTTTTTTAAAAAAAAAAATTATGGCCATTTAGATTTGACATTGCAGACAGGTCTTCACGACAGATGCATCGCTTCTGGCAACAGCAGAATCGAGCATCGGAGATCATCAGTTTAAACATCTACTGTAAACGCAAGTTCTTGCAGTGTGATTGCACCCATCCGTTCGGGCTAGCTCGTGCTGCACCAAGATTTCAAGACTATGCACTGAGATACATGCAGCTCCCAGACTTCCAGATGTGCTGCAAGCGTTGCAGCAGTCTGAATCTGAGACGCCAGCAGGCTGGAGAGGTGCTGAGTTGGTCAGTAGCGATGTGAAGCAGCATGACGTCGCAGAAGCGAGCGTGCATGCTTGCAAGCGAGGCCCTGCTGTTTGGAATGATTGGCACCCTCGGGGCAGTCGCGTTTGCAACTTCCTGTAGATACGTTTGGAACCAAGACCGAAGGGAGCTCGCTAGAGCATGCAGCAATACCATACCCCAATCTGAGCCCACCTTGGGTTGTTCGCAGGCATCCATGGTCACAAAAGCTTCGGAGATACCAAACTGACAGAGCAGGGCCACGCCAGGCTTCGGAACCCAATCAATGGCAACTAAGCGCTTCCGGGGTACGGAGTTCCCTCATATCAGGCCCGAGGCATCCCAAACGCCAAACTCGTGTCGACAGCATTGCGACAAGTCTTAGGTACAGCTTCGCTGTGCAGCGAAGAGTAGACGTCCTTTTCCGCGGGAATCTAAAGAGCGTGCGCAGCTCAATCGCCACAAAGCGACTGCATGCTAGTCGGAGATGGCTTCTTCTGTCAGGTGGCAGTGGTTTGCTCTCTTGAGCGTGGATGTACCAGACCTGTCGGCACCTCAAGCTTTCTAGGGCAAATGCTGCAATACGGCTCCGAAGATTAGGCGGTCGACACCTTGAATGTGCAAGAGGAAGATGGCGCATGGCCTCGGCCTTTGTGCTTCGCCTCCTGAAGACAGCATGTTTCCGTTCGTAGTTCGTAAGTTGCGCGAAGGTCTTCCGACTACATTAGCCTTTGTGCTGAGATGGGACTCTGAGTGGGCAAGTCCGTGAACGCTTCATGTAGCCCTCGGGACGTTAACGACGTGCCTCTGCCAGACATGAGGCCGCAAAGCAGCTCCTTTTGAATAGGTGCTTGCGGCAAACCTGCCCTTGTTAACGAACTCAGTTGGAAACAATCCACCGATTCAGCAGTTTTTGTTGAGTTGCTTTGCTAAGATTCGTTGGTGCAACTGCCACGCGAAACCCTGCTCGATGTTGGCTCTAGCGTGCTCTAGCTGCAGCGTCAATATTTCTTCGTCGCACACATTACGAGTCCTTCATGTTCCTGATGTTAGTAGCGAAATTCCAGCCGGTCGCAAAAAGTTTACAGACATACCCTCGACGTCGACTGTGCTAAAAAATTCTCTGTTTGAGCCAAACATTCCTTCCACGAAAGTTCCATGTTCCTTGCAGAGACCTCCCAGCCTCGCCACTGGGAATGTCACAGGAAGCTCCGGATGAGCTCAGCGTCTCAGCTGCAGGAGCTCTGCTTTGAAAGCTCGCTCAGATCAGCAGTTCCGAGGCTTGGCATTGGACTTGGAAGCTCCTCCGATCTACTACAACAAGGTGTGAATCGCAAGCCGTGCTTTTCCAGAGGGCTACTCGTTGACCTTCGAGCTGAAGGCAGACTACATACAGACTGCGTCTGGAAACAAGGTGATAGCTGCACCCTGTTCTGCTGGTAGGCAAAACGACGGATTCCAATTTTTTCGCATGCAGGTCAGTCGCAATTCAGTCCTCTGTGGCTCGCAGAATATTTCTCTCGTGGGGAACTCCGTTGTGAAGCCACAGCCTCGGGTTGCAGTCGATCACGGCAAGCATCCCAGCATCGCGTCAGGCCCGGTGTTGTGCTAAGAGGTGATCTACAGCTTCTCAAAATAGGCAGGTGCTGAGGGCACAAATGGAAATTCAAGTGCAAGCTGAAGCTGCACAGAGCTAGCGGCATAGAGCAATTTGTTTCGAGGTAAGTTCGTGATTGTGGGAGATGGCTGTGTGCTGCGACCCTCCTACAAGAAGTACAAGGAGTTTTGATGTGCTGAATGCAGCATCTACTTAACCTGCGAGTTGAGGCACCATTTAACTATTTAGGATGCTCGCTTGTTCTGTGAGGGAAACATAGCATTCTTCCCAATGAGCATCGGGGACTACGTGACAATTGGGCCAAAGAGCATCGTTTGCGCTGCCCAGATCGGCAACATGCTCAGTCTTGCAGTTGGCAATTAGAATCTCTTTCCATGCTATGCCGGGCTAGGTTCCTGTGTGGACATCGGCGAGAACTGTGTCATCTCGAAGCGGTGCATACTGAAGGCCTGCAGCGTCTTGCTAGAGGGTGCAACGGGAGCAGTCAAGGCTTCTGTGATTCAACTGCATTCCTCGATTGAATCAAGGATAACTCCATGATTCTGCCCGGCACAGTATGAGCCCCAGTTGGGATGGAGACCACAACAAGGCTGCCTTTTCTGCAGCAGCTGAGATCCTTCCACCGGACACCATAGTACCTCCGCTCACGGTCTTCGGAGGCATTCCGGGCAGGCCCTATCAGTCTTCGTCTCGCCTTGAGTGAAGTACCACTGATAGCAGCTTCGGGTGCCAGTCACAACAGAGCTCTGCAGGTATTTGGGGGAACTGCCCGAGTCGCAACCGATTGTTCAAAAGGAGTTTCTCAGCTGCATCAACTCAGCCAGACAACCCCGAAGAAATTGTACAACTGAGGCATGCGATGACGGAGTACAGACGGCTCGGATCTCTGGTCTCGCTTATGTTTGGCCTGCATGCAACGTAGTCAAATCTAAGGTTCCTTCCTTCAGCCAAAAGCGGAGGCCGGCACTGAAATTCCTTGGGTCCAGAGCCGTGACCTTTCGCTGCCAAGCGCAGGTGCAACGCCAAAGGCTTCGACACCCAAAGCCAAAGCAGCGAAGAGCCCTAGCAATGCTCAGCTCTCTCCATAGCCCGAAAGAGGCAACTAGATTTCATGATGCATCGCTCAAAGCGGGCAGAGCGCTTCAGAGCGAAGGCGCTTTGTGAAGGTGACGGCGCTGACGATGCAGCGAAGCTGTCAGAAAAGTGCGAGATGATGTCTAGTTGTGTCTAATGGTCAGGCTTTGGCACTGAACCTTGTGCATGTAGCTTGCAACACATGTGCGTTCATGCACGTGGCTTTCGTGCTCAGCAAGACGCTGCTTTTGCGGCGTGCTTGTAGCCAAAGTGGCACGCCCGCCTGGAACCAAGAAAATCAAGAAATTCTAGTGGTTGCAATTGCCTAAACTGGTCTTGGGAAGCTCATGCCTGGCACCTGGCTGGAATGAGGCCGCCGACTTGGAATTCGCGGCAAGAGTGCTTGACCACACGGCCATGTGCAGCACTTCAATGAAGCTACTCGCCGGAAGCTAAGACTAAGATTCCGTCTGCCTGGTTTCTCACGAAGAAGCCGGACTTGCAAATGCTGTGTCGGTAAGGTCTGGCTTTTGGTCATCGCGGTTGATGCAAAGTTGCATGATGCCAAGCGTTCACCGTTGATTCTTCCGAGACCATCTTCTGAACAGAGTTGCAGCAAGGTTGCGAAGATCGCTGAGCCGGGGTTCTTACACGGTGCCCCTGAAACTAGCGTTCTGCCCTTAGGCGGAAGGCACTACAGCCAGCTGGTTCGAGACGCGGCTAGGGTGCTGATGTGCACGCTTGTCAGGAACGCTCGACCTCGTGGGGCGGACCACGCTCATGTGAGCCTAATCAGCATGCGGCCTAAAGCGATGTGTGACCCAAAATGATCCAGCTGCAGCTCGTAATGGAAACCCGCAGATGAGAATGTTCTTCGTGCAGCGTTAAGGTACTGAGCGCTCCCAGAATTCAAAAGCAAGGCAGTCAAAAGGCTTCCGGACCCTGCAGCTTGACATGCACAACGATCCTGAATTGTGTTCTGTGGCATGCCCGGTGTCAGAAGATATCAGAAGCAAGAACATCTCAGGTCAAGCCAGCGCGCGCAGGCACTTTTCTGCGTTTACGGTCTTCCTAGCAGTGTTGCTTCCTGGTTTGCAACCCCAAAACTGCTGCTACTACCACTACAACTAGGACGACGACTACTACTACGACAGTACTCCGGCTGCTGTTGGTGCTCTTCTGCTGCTCCGGCAGCGGCTGCTGCTGCTGCTTCTGCTACTACTTCTACTACTACTACTACTACTACTACTACTCCTGCTGCTGCTGCTACTACTACTACTCCTGCTGCTGCTGCTGCTGCTACCACTGCTACTACTACTACGACGACGACTATGACTGCGACTACGACTATGACTACGACATACTACGACTACGACTGCTGCCGCTGCTGCTGCTGCTGCTGCCACTGCTGCTACTGCTACTCCTGCTGCTTCTACGACTGCTACCACCACCAATGCTGATGCTTCTGCTACTGACTCCTCCTACTACTACGACGACGGCTGACGACGACGTGTTGTTCCGTGGTGTTATCCTCGCTTATTAATCCGAGACCCTGAGAACTGCCCAGGCTTTCTTCGCGGGGCTCCGCTTGTGAGTTCCGACCAGTTGGTTTCGGGATACCCAAACGAATCAGAAGAGAGCTCTGGCCGTGCATGTTTTTTCCTTCTCTGCATCTCTCCGAAGCGTCGGTTCGAAGGCTCAGCAACTGCATGCACTGCAGTACTACGGTGAAGTTCATGTCTGGACCCTGGACCCCTTGGAGCTGCTCGCAGCATACTGTAGCGCGCAGTTGCGCGTATCGTCGATGCACGCTACATTGCCGTGCAAGTCCCATACGCAGGATATTCTTCAGTAACATATTGTTCCATTCTGCTGACATTCATCTACGGAGCTTCGCTCAGAGGCGGGCAACCGCATGCAGCTGCAGGCGGCTAGTCTTCCCCCCCTCGGCCGTTGCCGTTGCAAAGTGCAAAAAGTTCAAAAACCAAAGCTGCCCCCCACTCGGCCACTTGGGGCCTCTGGCTAAAGCTAGGACAGGATGGATCCGCCCAGAGGCAGGCAACGTCAGGGAGGCGTCCAGTGCATAAGTCTGCCGGAAGCTTTTGTGGTCGGCGACACGGTCCCGACACCACCAAGGCACAGGAGCACCACCAAGCGAAGCGCAAGGAAATCACGGTAGTAAAGACGGGCTTTCATCTCGCCGGCAGGGAGAGGCGGTAAACGGTCTTCGGACGGTGAGGAGGCCCTTCGAAGATCAGATGTCTGTAGTTATCGCATCTTACAGCGAGGTGGGAACACCGCCGCAGCGCTTCACTGTCATCTTTGACACAGGGAGTGGCCAGTCCTTTCGTCAGCATTCTCGATGTTTCGGGATGGGACAGCAATGGCCTCGAGGGCTGAGAGCACGCTCAGTCTTCTTGCAGAGGTTGATGCTGCCCTCGGCCAGGTGCACTAGCGAGGCAGGTCGGAGTTGTGGTTTCGCTAGCGAACTGCAACAGATTGGGACTGAAGAGAGACTTCCCTTGATGAGCATTTTAAGCGCAGACAAATGTCGGAATGTCGACTAGGTCTCAGGCACATCGTTGCTTGATGCCACTCTGGCTCAAGCTGCATTTGCAGTAGGCAGAGCAGCAGGCTTCTTTAGCTGGCAGACATCAGTCAGGCCATCAGGGAACATTGCTTGACCGCGTACAGTCTTCTGTGGCTTGCCATATGCTGTTGACATCATGCCTGCGCAGGACTCCCAGCGGACTGAAGTTCGATGGACCGCAGCTCCTCCACATCCATGATCGCGACGCCTGCGTCTTTCAGCGTCCAGCTCCAACGTGCCACGACCGAGTTCAGCGGTTTCTTCAGGGCTCGGCGGGCGGAGATACTGATCTTCGGGATCCGAAAAGACGGCCTTCTGAAATCATGGTTGTCCGATTCGAAATGAGGTGCAAAGGAGGAGCTGGAAAGAGCACTCGTCAGTGCCTCAACTCCCCAGACCAGAAAGACTTCCTTCACACATTCGGCACCTCTGTCAGGCCACAGCAGAGCCTCAGGCACGCCTGCGAAGACT